TACTTTATATCACAACAGGTAACTGGTGCAGGTGATGGAATTGGAAGAGAATTAGCAATTGGTTATGCGTCCTTAGGAGCAACGGTGATATGTTGGGACATTAATAAAGAAACCAATAAGCAAACAATGAACGAGATTAAAACAATGGGGAAAAGTTCTGTATATGCTTATCAGTATGTTGTCACAATTTGATGTACACGATATCCGATGAAATCTAATAGAAAATAGAAAACAATTGGAATACTTTATTCTGTACAAATACTATCATAGTTTTAGTTATCATTCTTGAACCAAATATATATTTGTTCCGTCTTTGCAGATGTGATGTGTCAAATAAAAATGAAGTTTTTAAGATGGCTGAAAAAGTAAAAATGGAAGTTGGCGACGTTACTATTTTAATCAATAATGCCGGCATTGCACCAATACGAACATTCCAAAAATATAATATCGATGAAATTTCTAGGGTCATAGATGTAAATCTAATGGCACACTATTGGGTAAGTATTATTTTGAAAAAGGATAAATGAAGAAAAGGATAAGGAAGAGATTTAAAGAATTTATATATTATAAAGAAAGGATGAACTTCCCAAAACTACTTATTTTATATTATTCGAAATTTTTGGAAGAATACTCCACATGATTTCAAATAAATATCTTTAAGGCTCCTGGGGAGTCGCATCATCCATCTCTTTTTAATGACGTCAGAAGCGAGAAAACGCATGCTAAAAATTCCTGCAAAATACGTCGAGATAAACAGATATATCCACAAAACGACATTTGCGATCGATTAAGTACACCTCTAAAATACTCCGTACACTTTCCTTTTGTTCTAACAATCAACAGATAATTATAAAATAAATGTGACGTGCAATCGTCTTTTCTAACCTAATTTCCTCATTATCTTGTCATATTAATTTTCCGATTATCTATTGATTTTTAGAACAAAAGGAAAGTGTACGGAGTATTTTAGAGGTGTACTTAATCGATCGCAAATGTCGTTTTGTGGATATATCTGTTTATCTCGACGTATTTTGCAGGAATTTTTAGCATGCGTTTTCTCGCTTCTGACATCATTAAAAAGAGATGGATGATGCGACTCCCCAGGAGCCTTAAGTATATTTTCACCGTAAAAGAAATATATAAATAATATCGAATAAGTATATAAAAACGAAGTCAGCCTCAATGATTTTGATTTTAACATATATTGTTCCCAGATAGCATACAATATTTACAAAATATTTTAGAAATATAGATATTAAATATTTTATAAATATTCCAATGTCTGAGATTTTCAGGTATGAAAAAGATTATGATAAATATTTAAAAATATTTACCATAAATTTTTCATAAATTATAATTTTTTTCATAAAAGTATGAAAAATATTTTTCAGAAATATTTTTAAATATTTATTATAATCCTTTTTATACCTGAAAATCTCTGACATTTGAGTATTTATAAAATATTTAATATCTATATTTCTAAAATATTTTGTAATATTGTATGTTGTCTAGGGTAATTTCTGCATATAGTATATATTGAAATATCGCAAACAATACATATATATGCGCGAGGAAAAGGCTCCGTTTATCTTTCAAAAATTTAACCGACCTCAACCTAACCGACCTTTTACATTTTTCTATTCTTTCTATCTTTTGTATTGTTATATTGTTGTATTGTTATATTGTTATATTGTATTGTTTCTTATTGAAAAATTATGTATAAAAATGTAAAGGATGGGTTGCAGATCCCTTATAGAAATGTAATACTGATAAGTAATAATTTGGCCAGTGATAATTACTGTCGTTCAATAATTTTATTACTCGTACAAGTAATAAAATTATTGAACGACAGTAATTATCACTGGCCAAATTATTACTTATCAGTATTACATTTCTATAAGGGATATATGTGCACTGTTTACTATATTTCAATAGAATACTCATGTAACAACATTTTGTGAATGTCTATAACTGTCCACAATCAATACAATTCGTGAGTGAGACTTGACTAACAGAAAATATTGAATTTATTATATAGTATTGTTTTTTTATGATAATTCCGTTTTGTTGACATAAATACAAAAATCATGTAATTATCGCGTGATATGTGTACTGTTAGTTCAATGTACACTATATACAAAAATTACATTCAATTTATGAAGCTTTTTTATTAATAACTTTTTCAAAAATAATAAGCGACGACTAAAATTTTTTGAGTCTTGTTTGGAGTAATGATCTTAATAATGTGTATCAATGTCAAAATCATTGAAACTGACTCCGTTTTTGTCAATAATTATCAAGAAGTTTAATGCCAAAAATGTTTAAATAACATTATATATCACTGTTATAATATTATATTATATAGTATTATATAATACTATGGTGTTATAGTTGCACAATTCATAGTTTAGAAGGTGCCATATCTTGATGGAAAAATATTTGATAATAACATATTGCTTTGCTATTAATGTCTGTTGTGGCCTATGGGATTCCTATCCTATCAGGTAAATCCTATCAGGTAATACCTATCAGGTAAATCCTATGAGATTTACCTGATAGGTTATATTTAATATGCCTCTTGATAAAAACCAAATGTTTTATTTATTTGCCATGTAACACACTCTTTCCTTACATCACTCGTTTGCGTCTGCCTACCTCTCCGGGGCACCTCTCACGGCGCACTGCTACCAACTCAACTTCTCCCTCGCCTAGAAGCGTAGATACCACTGCTTTTAGGCGCGTAACATTCAAACAATGTCTTTGAGCAAGTCATTCATTAAAGTAATTTTGCTTAATGATGAAATAACATCCTTTGAAACAATATCAGACAGATGTTCATTTTGTCGCGAAGTTTGTGCAATATTTTTGGACAAGCAATATTAGAAAGAAAACTATTTGAAGGAATGTGGGCATAAACATACAACTATAAATCATTCACGAGAATTTGTAGATTCAATTAATGAAGCACACAAACTATGGAATGATCATGGCAAGTAATGAAAAAAATTTTTGATTTGAGGTTGCGTTAGCAAAAATAATATAGCTGATCATTTGTAAGTTTTTATGGGGGTGCGATATTTATTAATTTGAAAAAATATAAGGCAAATATACTGATTAATATGTGAATTTCTTCAACGATTTTAACTTTCACATATATTATTAACCCGTTTCGCCCCAAAATATCCTAAATTTTGTCTTTTCTTCATTGCAATAATTTTGATAGAAAACGTCTAAGATCTTTCCGGCACTCAATACCCTATAGATGTAAGACATGCCTTTTCCAAATCTGAAGTCCATTTTTTGCTATCATGCGCCATTTTTTTAATATGGCGGTTGAAGTGCAAAAAATTGAAAAAAATAGAATATTATTTGTTTGTATTTAACTTTTCGGCATGATCCTGTCATAGAATCGTGCTAGTTGTTTGGATCTGGTGGTACAACGTCTTTAACTATAATATGGTGCTATGCAGATAAAAAAATTCATTATGGCAGATTCAATATGGCGGATTTTTAAAGAAAATTTTCGTTTTTATCGTAATATTTTCAGATTATTTATCATCCACTTGCATTTTCGTGATCTGTAGTATTAAAATATGATTTAAATGAAATTAAATCGCAATGTACTACGACATAATCGAAAAAATCCAAAATGGCGGAGATTTCCATGTTTTTTGTAAAATTTTGAGTTTTATTCGTTTTTATCACATACCCGATTATTTTTTCACGCTTTTGTTGATTCTGAGGCACTTCGGAAAAATAGTAAGTAAAATAGAAGCAAAATATTATAGTTCTAAGATATAACAACCTCTAAACACCATACTGAGTTTGATTTTTACAGTAACTTATGGCGATATTATCATAATTCAGTTGCATTTTTTTTTTGCTGTGTAATAAGTATAGAATATAGTATATAATATATAGAATAATAATATATAGAATAATATGTAATAAGTATAGAATATAATATATAATAGATCCAAAGGTTTAACATAACCTCAAAATGGGATAGTTGAACACATTTTTACAACTTATGGTTATCTAATTATACTCGAGTTATACTTATTTGAAAATAATACTGCTGTTGAATAAAAAGTACAGAATAATACACATTGCAAAACAAATTAAAATTATGTTATTTTACATAATAAGTTAACAAAAATGTGTCCAGTTATTTTGAGGTTATATTACTCATTAGTGTCATCACATGTAACATTCTTTATTTATTCAACAGCAATATTATGTACAAATAATAAAAAGTTAACCGTGATATACTAATAATCTTTGTTTTTTAAATTTATATACCCGCTTCAACAATTACTATAAATAATTGTTCCTGGAATAATATTTTGACATATTATTGTTAGTAGAATTGATGAAGTACGATCTTTCATAGGTACAACAAAAACTCGATTAGATTTCATCGAATCCACCGAATATTTATTATCTTCGAGTAACTCATCCGCGATTATATCTTAAAATCTAATGGCGATAAATCAGGGGATCTTGGTGGACACTCAATAATCCCATGTTTGCCAATCTCCCTATCACGATATTTGTCGTTTGATCATTGGCGGTCAGACGCAGGTAATGGAGAGGAGTTTTATCTTGCTCAAAATGAATCAAGTTTTCATTTAAATTCATAATATCATTTATTTGATTCTCTAACTCTTGCGTGATGAAAGGGTCAATAACTTATTAAACATATCCAAATAAGTTTGTCTCCAAGAATAAAGGACCAATAGTAGTATCACCAAAGACACCTAATATAAAATAAAACCATATAAATTTTTTTTTAAAGCCATATTTTTTATTAATAATTAGATAATTTGTTAAATCTATTTAAAATTAAAAAAAAAGAAATACCACCTGCATTTATTTTTTGGATTTAATTGTTTATTACTTTTGTTTTTAATTATGTTTTCTTACTTATACATTTATTTTTTGTGGCCATTAAGTGCTGTCTGCTTTGATAATATAAAGATTTTTCCTATTTTAGTATCGAGAATTATGTCTATTCACTAATCTTAATTAAAAAAAAAAAAAAACTACGTTCAAAACAAATTTCTTTCAGAAAATTCGGAGTTTAAATAATATAATCTGAGAGAGTAAGAGGGAGAGGGAGAGGAAGAGAGAGAGAGAGAGAGAGAGAGAGAGAGAGAGAGAGAGAGAGAGAGAGAGAGAGAGAGAGAGAGAGAGAGAG